TATTCAATGAAAATGGGAACATGTCTATGATTTGCTTCAGCCACAGAGAGCAAATAGCTGTTTACCACGCGTTCCCGGAGGTAATATGCATTGATTCGACTTATCAGACCAACAAAGTTGGGTAAGTAACGACTAGTAATAAATTTATCTGAAAGTTTTCCACTGTTCCAGCTAGTGGTGACTGATAGTCTTGGGCAAGGGCACACTGTTATGTATGCTCTCTGCAGTCAAGAACGACGCGAAGATGTCGAAAAACTATTGGAATGCTTTAAAGAGATAATGTGCGGTACTTATGATACACGCACTTTCATTATGGATTCGGCAGCGACCGAAATTTCAGCTGTGCAGTCTACGCACAGTCATTCTAACATAATACTTTGTTCATTCCATGTCCTAAGAGCATTTTTCAGGAAGGTATGTGTTGGCTGTACAAATTATTTTCTGTAGTTCCGAATTCCTGATGTGCACAAATGCTTGGAACACCTTGTGAAGACTAGACGGTCTGACATGTGAGCTTTGCTCTTCATAACGCACTATATTCAGAAGTACGAACGTCTAAGGACCCATTTCTCACGGGCGTATGATTATATAAAAGACTACTCGATTGCCCGGAAGTCAATGTGGACTCGCTGTTACTGGCAACATGTATTAAGCCTGGGCAACGACAAAAACAACCGTGTCGAAAGTGCTCATAAACACCTAAAAGAATGTCACAGAAGAGGTGATTCTCTGCTATTGACGTTCTGGAAAATTTGGAGTAAAACAGACACTGACCTACGTTTGCGTCCATATGAGGCTGTAAAGGATCTTCAACGTTTTCCAATTCTTCAGGTGAGAAATATAGTTAAATGTATCATTAATTTCAGGTTTCAATGTCATTCCGAACTATTTTAAATGAGTTCACAGCTTTTGCAGCTAAAATTGTAGCTGTAAATTATAAACGTGTTAGAAAAATGAGACACGAACTTATAGCAGGAGAATACATCCGCTGCTACGACAAGGGTATGATGTATTTTGTTGATACTTCACATGCATAATGTGCTCGTGAGCATTTCAATGACTACATGCCGCACTATGGTCATATTTTGTATGCACATTCTAAAGATCTAATTCGTGGAGGTGTTTCTTTGTCTCTATACGCATTGTAGACTTATTTCGACATATCAGCCGGTGGACAAGGAAATAAATAATGGACTTGGTTCTTCGTGCGCTGGACAACTTGTCAATCTCTACAGGGAGTGAAGATCTGCTAGAGAAGTTCACTAACAACTACCACTCAATCCATGCTCTTAGTGAACCTCTAGCAAGTAAACTCATCCGTTCATGATTCGCTACGTTTACTTCGCGATTTAATAAAAAAAGTACGACAAAGTGATAAGTGGAAAGTCGGTCAGTCAATTCAGTGCGCTAACAATGACAGCTTATTTCTTGTTCACACACAATGAGCCCAAGTGTCCTGGTACGGCCAAGAGTGGGGAGAGCCAGCTCTCACATGGTCACACGTAGGGAAACCCTGACTCCAAACCAGTAGTGCACATAAACTACAGGATAATGAGAAAACAAATGGTGTATGAACCTATTGTTGGTCACCAGATACCATCAGACTGCATCGCCTAACGTTGCTCCACTACCTTCCAGGTTAAACCTTTAGGTCAAAGGCTCGGGGGTGGCCATCGAAGAAAACCACCTGCTTCGGTTTGGGCACCCGATCAGTATCCCAACCCTCATACAAATCGAATGACGAAATATGGCGCATATATATTTGATGCCTCCTTGTACCAATGTCCATGTGCTTGAATAAATGAAATAGATCGCACACATTGATCATACAATTATTTACATCTAGTTGCTTGATCATCCCACCACACCTAAACACGTATATTTTCGCTATTACAGATGTGAATATTTTTTATTGTTACTCATCAATCACTGTTAGAACGTCTTTACATATGAATATACTTATGGTCAGTCAACTTTGACTTAGGACCAGGCACTTATATGCATTGGTCCATACCACATTTGCACAAGATGAATATCGAAGCCACAGTAGTTATTGTTTGATGGTAATATTTCTTATAAGGACATGGAACAGGAAGGAAGATGTAGTTAGCAGAAAGTTGTGAAGCGGTTTTTATTTCACGCTGTAAGGCATGACAAAGAGTGTATACACGTACGCCATTGTGATCAGTTATGACCCATGACATTCAGTCTCCAACCATTGATTACGATAGTCACGAGGACCCCAACTAAATAGCCTGCATCTACCATCATGGCTAAGACTAGAACTTAGTGGCTCCGAGCTCTGATTTCACGTTTTGGTTTGATCGTCTGTAACTTCCTCCCAACCAGCATCGCGCGTCGTGGCAATCGGTGTCCAAGCATACGTAACACCGTGGCCCAACCATTTTAGTCGTTGAAAATTCACAACTTCGTCAACTGATTTAGCACTACTCCCTAATACTCTGCGTCTAACCTCACTGTTACTTACCTGGTGGTCCCAGTAGATGCCAGCAATATTTCTAAAACATCTGTGGTCAAATACTAATAGCTTATGAATATCTTCAACTCTTATTGGCCACGTTTGGCAGCCGTAAAGTAAAACAATGGTATGCTGCGCAGTATACTTATCCCTTAATTGATAGACGGAGCTGATTATCTCACAATTATTACCATTATATGCCATCATTATCATTTGCGTTTTTTTCCTCTTAGTAATACTCAACTAAATACACATTATAACTCTGTACATCAACATACAATTAACATGTTATATTCCTTGACATATTTTTGTGTTCGAATACTATTTCTCGTAAAGCAGTAGTACAATCTTTTGTGTTCATTACTCATATTTTTCGTAACGCCACTTAATGTGCACATTATTTTTTAAATCTGACTTTGGTTTTTCCGTTACCGATCTGTATCAACTCCTAGGACACACTGATTAACTCACAAATACACTGCTCCCCATACATTCCTCGTCTTCATCATCTCAGCTGCTACATTGACAAATCAGTAATATGATTGCTGTTTACTTTTACAGGTCACATTCCTGTGGTTAGTATAGGATTTTTTCTGATATACATCGATTTGGACTATATATACCGTGTTTGCTATTAATTACTTGTTTCAATTGTGCGTCACATGATCAAGACCCGAACACGCTAGACCTGAAAATAAAGGTAACGTTAAGACTTTTTAGATTTATATATTTTGTGAGTTATTAACTGTCTTTACATTCCGTTCATTAAATTTTTCACTATTTTCATATTAATACTTTTAGTCCGCCACAGAGCAAACGGTCTCACAATGTGTTCACTGGCTCACTTCTGCTGCATATAAGGTGTTGCAAACCAATGGCTTTGTAGAGCATGTTTTTCACGAGATCTCTGGTAATACTCAGGGAATTGAGCTATTGAACACAGCTAGGAAGCTTCAGCAGACCAACGATAAGTTTTAACGAACGTGGAGCACCTGAAAAATTCCAAAGAAGTCATGTGCCATAGTTAACCCTGCTTCAAATCTGAATAAAACTACCATGACATCCTCAAAATGCAGTAGATTATAAGCACATTGATGCAGAAAAGGAATAAGCGTATACAGAAGCGACAAAGTACAATGAGCTCCAAAAATTGTGTCGCCAGATACACCCTTAGAATGCTACATCAACGCTATGGTTTTGCCACAGCCTGATCTGCACAATGTAGATTTGTTTGAAAATCAAAATAAAGTCAATGATTAGCTTTGGCAACTAGAAAAGCGGAGGCCCTTACATTCTTTGCTGAACCGGACTGCGGGGAAGCGTTTAAGCTCAAGAAATGCAACCTAAGTCATCTTTGAAAAACTAGAAAAATTTCCTGAAAAGGACTAAAAGGCTAGTTTGAAAAACAATGTAAACCATATTGATTCACTAATAAGCAAACTATGCTTCCACTAAGGAGCAAAAATCTACTATTGGAAAAATCACAAAAACGGATTGGATCCGGAATCTATATCGGCGTTGATCTAAGCCTGGTTGATCTTATGATTTCATTGCCATGTCTGAAAAATGGCTAACATCAGTAGTGTGTGACATTAAAATTCAGTCGTTTGGTTCCTTATTATGTAAGACCGACAGATTAAACCGTAGAGGAGTTCGCGTCATCTTATTCTTTCTACTTGACTCTCCCGATTTGTTGAAAACATTCTGTCTTTCCCGAGGTCTGGTGCAGTAGGACGTGACTAAATTGTTGCACTCGTTGATTCTTAAAGTTGAGCTGCAGTTATTTCTGATAAATCTACTTTCATAATAGTTTTCCAACTGGAAACTTTATGCCATTTACTTAACTCGCTGTTTCAGTTGCCTTCGGACATAGCTCCTACTTATGAATTTCTCTGTGTGAGCACCTTTCGGGTTGCTTCTTTTTGAACATGTTTCAAGATAAGATAACATGATATGGCAGTTTATTTCGAGACCAGGTCTAAAGAAACACTAAAAATGGTTTTGACTAATTCCGGACTACCGTTTTTCAAAAGGAAACTCCAAGAAAAGACGCTTTACTAACTGCGAAACATTCACTATAAAAAAAACACATACTAATGTCTTGGTCCGTTTCTACCATCTAATGTTGAAATCACATCAAACAGTACAAGTTTTATGTGTCGCTACTGCTCAGCGGTGGCACTTGTTGGAGTTAAAAGAGAGTAATTTTCTAATGGTCCAATAGTTGATCCTATTCAAATCATATTGAAATCATCCGCATATTACCGGCTTACTTGGTAGATCGTCCATCAACAATAGAAATGGTCCAAAAGCTGTTGATATGGCTTCACATTTTCAGCCATTATTGTCAGTGATAGAAACATACAGGATGAAGGGGATTTTTTATATCCTTTGTAGTAAACCTGCATCTTTAGTGTGATACTTTATTATTATTTATTTTACTTGAACAAAAACATTGGTACAAAGAGGCATTTCACTAGGATTATTTCTCAATTTAATGAATTTTTGTTTATTTTCAAAGATGTCAGTAGAAGATTGTGAAAATGAATTACTTGCACTGGAATCCATTTATGAAGATAAGTATCAACTTGTACAAACTACACCGAGACGAAAAATAAAAGTAAATCTAAATGGTCAGTCAGATGATTCACTGTCAACTAAAGTTCGATGTCAGCTTCTTTTTGAACTTACAAGCAATTATCCAAATAAACCACCTAAATATCAAATACTTAAACCTGAAAATCTTTCAGACGAAGATATTTCCGATATAAATATTATAATCAATGAAGTAATTGAACGATCCCTAGGATTTGTAATGTTATTTGATATATTAACAGAAGTTCAAGAAAAATTAGATAGTATCTGTGCAAAAATCTTAATTCGTCAGCGTAATGAAGCTAAAGAAAAACGAAAAGCTATACAACTAGAAGAAGAAGCGAAATTCCGTGGTGATAAAGTTACAGTGGAGTCGTTTCTAGAATGGAATACAAAATTCCTTGCAGAAATGGAATCATTAAAAGAGAAGTCAATATCTGAAGATCAAAGTGCTGTTAAACGACTAACTGGACGTGAGCTATTTTTGAAAGATAATCATTATGACGATTCCGATTTGACCTTCTTGGAAACTAATGGTGGCGAAGTTGTAGAGATTGATGAACATTTATTTGTTGACATTGGCGATATAGACTTGGATGATGATAATGATGACGATAATAACCAAGTAGTTGTGACGGGAACAGCCTGAACATATTATATACTTTGTACAAATTAATTCACTCCAAAAGTATCATTGCTTTTATTTTAACAGTTCTCTTCCGGTACGTAAAGACAAAGATATACAAAGTTGGAAATAGACTTCTATGACTATGTAAATTCTAAAAACTGTAACTTCCTGATTTCACAAACTTGACGTTACATTTACTAAGTGTCATACGAATTTGGCGACTATAAATTGTTTACTTGCAAAGCTTTAGTTTCGTGTTCTAAAACCTAAAATGATTATTTAAATAAAAGTATACAACTTGGAAACCAAAGGCAAATTCGTCCTCATAGTTAATATTTTTGGAAATAAATATGCCTACTGCATAAATCTTCGTTACTGAGGCGAGATTCAATTATACAAGCTCTATTGAATAAATGTATCTAGATCACTGGTGTACAACACCTAGTATTCTCAGAACTGTAGTATATGGGTTCAATAATAACTGATTCGTTTTAGTATCTGATTAATATTCCTAGTTTTCTTACAGCATCAATACCTTCTGTGTGCTTATTCCTAATGATTTTTTGGATTTCGGAAAGAAAATGCCCCCTGAACTTCTAAAGGTCCTTCAACTAATGTCAGTTTATGTTGAAGAACTAATGCTCTTATGATGTTCATGTAGATAATTCCTAATTAACATGTAGTTGTAAGCTTATTATGTCAATAAAGACGCTCCAACAATGCGAATATTGCTGTGATACGGGCTTACATATACCAGACTTTACCAGTTATTACCCCTTACATTTAGAGATTTCCACTATTTAAAGTAAGTCATCTCTTCACCATATTCCCTGAAACATTTAAAGTTACTTTAGTTTGCTTTATATTAAGTACTGTTAGTGAAATTATACAGTAAGCGTTCCAATCTTAATAATACGAATTTTTACGATAGAACAATGAGAAGACGGAGTTTATCTGAAAAATGTGATGTATTTGCGCTATACATTTCGAACAATCGGGTCACACATATACTTATCAAGGCATTTTTATATAAAAATTAATAAAGGTCAATTATGTTTCGCCATCGATGAACCTGGTTTTCTACCTCCCATATTGATTTTGAAGCCATCTAGGCACATGTTCATTGACCCTTGATAGCATTGTTCGATTACTCCTCCCTATGTATGTGTGTCCACATAAACATGTAAATTGCTAAATACAATGGGATGTGACGTAATCATTAGTGCATTGTTTGAGTCTATTAGAAACCATGGGCTTAGACTTTTCAATCACAACCAACTGAGCAGCATAATAGGTATTCTCGATGGCTGCTTTCAATCTCTGTCTGAAAACTATGCTGTTGGATTCGCTTCTATATGGTAAATTGATATAAACTTTTTTCTTTGGAACTAAATAAACAAGAGGTCTTGGCATTAACTGACTTTTGCATCTATTGATAAACTTTATTGGATAACCATTTGCTATTAATGTGTCAGTCAGTATCTTTTCATCTTTTTCCAACGTGTCAAAAGTACAAATTATCTGAGTCTTCTTAAAGAGACACTTAACCAGGCCTCGCTTGTATTGAAATGGACAAAAACTGGAAATTTAAGTATTGTCCCGTCCAGGTTGGTTTCCTATACACTGACCGTCTAATATTGTCATCATCCTTTCGACTAAAAAGGCCAATTGGCCATTACTTTCTGATTCATATGTCATCACAATATCATCTTGAACACCATTGAGTTTATCCAATAATCGGTAAACAACAAAATCCTTATCACGCATAATTTGAATATCGTCCATGTATCATTTATATAGAATTGCCTCACTAATAAGCTCGCTCGTCATATTTTCCACATACGACATGAAACAATCAGCTAAGAGAGGCTCCAAAGGGCTACCCGTAGCTACACCATCAAGTTGTTGAAAATATTCACCATCAAACGTGAATTGAACATTGGCAGTAATTTTTTCAAAAATGGTAACGGAATGAACGTCATAAACAATGAGTTCAGTTCTCCCGAATTTATATGGATTACCTAAAATTCATAAACTTAATATTCCATTACAACCAATTTTGTCTATGCGCGGTTCCCCCATACATGAGTTAGCTAAATGGTTAGTAAAATTGTTAAACCAAATTTATTAATTTTCATATAAAAATGCCTTGTGACCAGATTGTTCGAAATGTACAGCGCAAATACATCACGTTTTTTCAGATAAACTCCCTCTTCTCATTGTTCTATCGAAATTTATAAAAGGGGCTAATTACTAATTATTAAACGTGTCGTTATTTAAGTTGTGTAGTTAGTTTAAACAGAACGTTTTCGCTACGGTGCAATACAGTTATTTTGATATTAACATTTATAATCTAATAACTATCCGTCAGCAAAACACTGATCAATTTCAAAGTTTTTACTTTTTTATTTTACGTCTTTTAACATACTTAGGAATTTTATGTTTTCGCTTTTCAGCTTGTTCTTGTTTGATTGCTTTTTTTCTATTCCTACGACTTTCTGGAGATTCATTTCGAGGTCGTGCATTATTCTTTGCTTTAATTACATCTTCGCTAATAGATTCAGAAGAAATTTCTGAAGTGATTGAAGCTTTGTCTGTAATTGATTCATTGTCCGATTCACATTCATCGTTTTCTTTGATCACTTGAGGTTGTGTTAAAATGCCTGTTAAATCTGGTTTTAGTCCAGTTATAGCTGCGTAGTAAATATCAGAATGTGACAATTGTCCACGTTGTATTTTAAGAAAATCTCTCACAAATGGATAAGATACTGATAAATTTCGAGGGATATGTACATATCGAAAAGCTTCATCCTCTTTTTCAATTGTTTCATTTAATCCACGAATTGAAGCTTCTCGAAGTAAAGACATTAAACACTCTTTAGATGATGCATCATCGGGTGCAGGCAATGAGGGATTCACTACCCATTCGAAAAGTTCTCGTAATGTTAAAGTTGAGACACCTTGTTTGCGAAAAAATATATTTATATTGTGACAATCAGTTCTTAAATATTCAAGAGCTTGAGGCGATTCATGTTCCACAGCCTATAAAAAGTAAATGAAGTTTACTAGTGAAAGATATAAACAACTTTTACTCTAAAGATTTTTGCATATTCCTACTGAAAACGGATGCTATTTGCCTTGAAAGTTGAAAAACTGTACATCAGTGGGCTTCAAGTAGCATAAGATGAACTTAGTTGTACTGGGGAATATATATATTCGTTCGTTGTCTCTGTCTAGATTTTTTCATGAAGATTATGGCAATCGAACTGATTTGGTAAGATACTTAAACAACTCAGTCACTCATACTTAGTGTAGAATTCGGCACATATATGGATCGGTTAAAGGTGCTACAACAAATTAGCACAGCAGTATGTTGGAGCAGTACAAGTAACATTAGTAGAAATGACTAGACAGAAGTGGCTGGAGAAGGGATAATTAATTTGTGTAAATAAACAAAATCTAAAAACATTAAGAAAATTAGGTCCTAAAGGAAGAAAGAATGAATACGCAAACAATTTTGGCCCATGTCACTGATCACGGTTGTCGTTCGAAACTAAACCAAGTAATGTGTATTTACTAAAATCGCCTTAGATTAACAGACATTAACTTCATGGACTGATACCATCGTGGTTTAATTACTGCTAACTATTCCAACCCACTCCTACTTTAGCATTGAGGTATGTGGTGGTCGAGCATATATAATACATATCCTAACCACCTCAGTAGATGGTTTGTTGCCTCACCAATTGGCTGACCACCTTTGATTGGTACCTTGAGCTTAGCTACAGCATTCCTCACTTGGTGATCCCAACATACAAGAACCATGTTTTAAAGGCATCTATGACCAAATACTAATGACTTGCAAGTATCTGCTATTTTTAAAGACCGACTTTCGCACCCACAGAGCAAACCATAGTGAATCGCTGAGCAGTATACTTGTCCTTCAGTTGGTAGACAGGCAATCGCCAACCCGATAAGTGACGTAAGTTGGAAAAGTCAACCGAGCTGTATGAATCCGTGCAGAAACCTGGTCAGACACCAAGTTATTAGGCCCAAGTATGGTCGAGAGTGGGGTGGGCCCTCCCTCTCGAAATGCTCTCACACGGCCACACGTATACAGCCTCTGCTAGGGAAGTCCTACTCACTGCCTTCTCGTGGCAGGCGTGTTGTTTGCGAAAGTGAGAGGACGAAAAGCGAATGACCGGCGCTATAACCGGATTCCAAACCAATGGTGCATATGAGCTCCAGTATCCTGTAGGAACAAATGGCATGTGAACCAATCGGTGGTCACCGGCTTCCATGGGAATGCAACTCCTCACGACGCTCCACCGCCTTGTGGGTCAGACCTTCAGGTCAAAGGCTCGAAGTGTGGCCCCCTGCGAAAACCACCTGCTCCGGTCTGGGCACCCCGGCACTATCACAGCCCACACACAAATATGAAGAAATGTCGAGATTTATGGAAAATACTTGTCGTGCTTCAATTAACAATCAAACGATTCACATCATTATTATTATTACCATTATTATATTTTTACGTCATTTATTCCCACTCTGTGTATCCTTATTTTTCGACTTATACAGCAGATCGCCTATGGTGGAAATTCGGTTCTGTCTACACGCTCTCGAGTCACTGCCCGGTTGAAAGTTGTATGTTACCACTAAATACGAATACTGAAGCAGTTTTTCTAAAACCACGTGCACCAGTCTGGCTGTAAAAGGTCGGATCTACAACGCGTCGGTGAGAGCAGTTCTGCTCTATCCTTGTGAAACCTGGTCTCTCCGAGTTGAGGATGTTAGAAGACTCTCTGTGTTTGGTCATCGCTATCTCCGAAGGATTGCTGACATCCAGTGGCAACACCATGTCAGTAATGCAGAGGTTCGGCATCGTGTGTTCGGGCACAGAGACGATAATGCAATTGGTATCACCATCTTGAAACACCGACTTCGGTGGCTTGAACATGCTCTACGAATGTCGTCCCAGAGAATTTCACGTCGTGCATTATTTGCCGATGCTGGGACTA